GAACAGCCAAAACTTTTGTTTATCTCCCGAGAACAATCTTCTGGTCCATGGATCACGAATCACCTATGCGCTACTACAAGGATGATGATGAAGCATCTTGACAGATTTTATGATATATTCTTCACCGTCCAAATTTACATGGAACGTTGATTGGCATTTCAGACCCTGAATGTCATACGTTACTTAGAGTTCTCACGGTTTTCGATTCGATGTTAGACACTGACACTTAATACCAAATATTCACTAAAACACTATAATTATGTATTCAAATATCATACCCCTCAGCAGTTTTACATTGGCACGACTAAATCTAAGAATGAATTAAATTATTCGTCCCTACTTTTTGTAATTCCTTCATTAAACTACGAAATTAAGTCCAGCGTTCGAAACGCGTGTACTGTACTATACGTTGAAACGCCTCGCTTACACTGACTAAAATATCTCTTGAACATTAAGCACTACAAACAGCACTTGGTGATTATTAAAAAGGGTAACTAATCGCAATACTACCTTACTAACTGAATGGAGTACTACTAACATAAAGGACTTACCGGCATTTCGTCTTATTCCTTGAAAAAAAACAGCGATTTGTACATACTCTGCGTATTTTGAACTGTTGATTTATCCTTACTCTTATCACATTGTTTCCACGTTTTAAACAAAGGCGGTGGGATTCATTAGAGAAGCCGCAATTACCATGGCATCCTAGGTCAACTTATGAAGCAATAATCAAGCTGATGTGTCCACTACAAAACAGAGAGGGCTCAAGTGATGTTTTTCTCAATGACTTTGTGATTTTACTTCAGAAAAAGACTAATTAAATATGAGAACATTTCATATTCGTACAACCCATCAGACATTCAACTAACACGCAGCATTTGAATTACGGAATGACCGCCTCATACCAGACCGTTCAAGGTCGTCAAAGCGAAATAGTGGACAACTTTGAGTGAACCTGACATTTTTGCTGTCCCCCGGTCGTCAATCGTGAAGATAATGAATACAATGAATTGTCACAAAGACACAAAGTGACAGTTGGAGTCATGTTCAATAGCAAAAGCTAGGCCATCCTTAATGTCCGGTGAAGGCTCATTCAAAGACATCTGCTTATATGCCATAACAGCGACTTCTATGGGGTGGCATACAGTTTTCAAACCAAGTTGATTTACCAAGCATCCGATCCTACCCAGCCTTCGTAACAGTAAGAGACACTGTAACAAGACCTATTCGGCATTTATTAGTATCGCAACTCACGATAATAATAATAATTTATTCTCAAATAACAGTTTGTTACATGAGGCATGCCTGTTTACAGGCAAGATCATATTGTTACAAATGATACAATATCCACTGTAATAAATTACTCAGCTGGGTTGATAATTTATAAGATATGAATGTAGATGGTTTTAATCAGTATCACAGTCGAAGAGCTTCATGAAAGTTGTGTTGCGAATGTGCAACTGATGGTCAAGGATAGGTCGTTTGAAGGTTGTGGCTTCTAAAAGTCGCAACCTTATGTCCCTTTGGAATATCTAAGGCTTTGAGGATGGTGCAGGATGAAATCACACGTTCCATATCACAAGGGGGCTGAAAGAGGGAGCAAGTAAAAGAAATGACGAGAGGCAGAGTAGCCAATATTCATGAAGGAATGTTTAAGGTATGATTACTCAGTCTAATTTTCTTTTATTAAGGTATTTGTTAAGCAAGAGCATTTTAATAGGTTAAAGAAAATAAGTGTAAACAAGTATAAGTGGACATAGAACTGACAAATAGGGGAGATTCGGAAAGGAGCTGAGAGTATGTGATTATGTGTGGTTACAAAATAAAATATAGTGCTAGAAACAGTATTGTGATATACAATTGGCTATCTTCCTTTTATTATCGAAGCTATTAGAGCCCCTTTCGTTTTTTTTGTATTATTTTTATTTTCAGGTATTATAGGGTCTTGAGTAGGCTTCGTATATTAGCGAATTGTCTAGTTTGCTTGTAATAAGATTTCTGGGTAGGAAGTGAAATCAATTCAACGTTCGTAATACGACTTAAAGAGGTAGTTTGCGTGATAAATCAGCATCAATACCATAAGTACGTGACATCCCACTAAACCATAAGGAGCCGTAATTAAACAAATTGTTCTGCCCTACAAACATGGGTGGATTGAATCTATCTCCCCACCATCATGCTTGCTAGTCAGTAACGCCACCCTCCCTCCTTTTGTGATGTTAGGCTCTCTTACGTTTGTGGTAAGTATGAATACTGCTTTAATCAAAGCCCATTGTTGGAATACACTGTCTCTACTAGGTCCATGTTACAAGCAAATCAGATAGTTGAAAAGTCTGTTTTATGGGTTAGATGTCCACATAGTATATCACACTGCTATGAAAATAACCACTGGTTTAAAGAAGCAAGGACTAATAGCAAATCAAAAGATATGAGAGGGTATAAAATTGTAGAAAAAAAGATTTCAGGTTAAGACAAACAAAACTCACAAGACTTTTTGGCCAGATTTTGAGCTTTGTATGATCGACCTTTTTAGATCAGCATCCATAAGATTGAGCTATCTGTCTACTTGCAGTAGAAAAAAAGGCATGACTTTTAGGAAGAGTAATGTACATTTAACCTGTAGAGATTTGGGAACTGAAAGTTAGGGTCAGGAGCATAAGGCCATGAATAATAAACAATGAATAATAGGAAAGCATAAGCCATATATTCTGTTATTTGGTTATATTCATAATGATAACATTTGAACTTGTTATAATCTTGTTCTTTCTAGATACTAGGCGGTCCGTAATAAAGTGCCTCATTGGTGGGTGGGAGTTCAAGGAAATGTTGAAGCGATTTGGAGTCTAGAAATAGGGTTATTAGCTTTTTGAATCTGGTAAACGTATCACTGTTACGGATAGGCATTGGCAGCCTGTTCCACAATAAATTATACCGTGCTGTAAAAAACTTACAACGCATTTGTTTTTGGTGTTTTACGGTAAGTAGTGTATATGCGTTGTTTCTAAGTCTATAGGCTGGGTCGTGGGTGATAGTCGGGCAGGAAGTTAGAAAAGAGAGCCCATATATCGCTTTGTAGAGAAATATTAAATTGTTCTTTAGCCTACGGTGCCATAAAGGTTCTAAAGAGGGGTGCTTACATCTATCTGTGTAATCGAGATTCCAGTTACATCCTAGTAGTTGACGTGTGAAACGTCTTTGAACATCTACTCTTATCTTGTCTGTGATATTCATATTAGAGAAGACAAAAGAGCAGTACTGAAGATATGCATTAACCTGACTTGAAGTCTGATAAATGGAGTCATCTTGCTCAGCGCTCATATTACCTTTGCTTACAAAGATACCGAGCACACACCGCCGTCGTAGCTTAAAATCACTGAACTCAGTAGAACAGGTAAGAGCAGAGATAATCTTGCTTTGCATCTGCGTACGTTTAGAGGCATTAGTAGTTTCTCAGTACAGTAATATCCTACCATACAAAGAAATCAGGCATACCTGAACTTTGCGGGTTCTGTGAGAGTTTTGTCCGTTCCCAAACAGATCACCACTTAGCCACGGATGTGTGGGGGAGTAGTTAAAGTAGCTTCTTTGTAATTAGTCCCGGTACCATTAGTGTTTTTCAACAATTCTTACAATCTACATAATTACCATGATTGCTTGTAAAATTTTCGTTCAAAAAACATGACTTTTGACATTCCGTTCCAGTTTACGAACACACATAATGGAAATCATTGATTGTCGTTCACACACACTCTGCTGCACGCATAAGATATGTTGAGAAGCGCTTGATCTAAGCTATCCAGTAGATGTGTCAACTGAAAACAGCGAGGTCAGCATCAACGCCGAAGACTCGAGCTCGTGAAAATTGGTGACCAAAAGTCACCTATAGACACAGCCTGCATTGATTTTAGCAAACTCTTTGACCAAGTTTCTCACAACCAGCTGTTGTATAAGTTAAAAAATGTCGGGGTTGGAGGAAACTTTTAATGTAGATAAAAGACTACGTAGTTGAGCGCCGACAAAGGGTACGGGTAAACTCTAAATTGTCTAGCCGGGAAACTGTGTTAAGCGGAGTGCTTCAGAGTACAGTATAACGACCAGTACTATTGAGCATATGTATATGAGCTTCCTTGTCTCATATCGTCACTGGTTTTGTTATATGCTGACGATGTTAAAATACTGAGAGCGATAAAAAGTGAAGGCGATGGCTTTGAGCTTCAAAATGATCCAGAGAAATTATTTGAATGGTTTCGAACTTGGCAGTTGCCGATAAATACTTTCAAGTGCATTGTGATACATATTGGTCACCAAGCTACAGGTATATACACGTTGAGTCCTAAACTTGCGTTTTGAATGCAAGCGGCTATCCCCCTCTTAAAAAGACGGTGAGCTTTTAGGAAATGTTCAAAAACCGCAACTAAGCTGATTCTCAAGATAGAGAAGCTCTCCGATGATGCTTGACCGGCTAAACTAAACATGTTTCCATTGCCATATCGATGAACCAGAGGAGATTAGTGATAAATTTGCGTCTGATATGTCCTCACTTTTCCTGTCTTTCAGAACGGAAATTACAAGGACTCTCCAACAAAGTTCACAAGCCCTAGATAAATTACTTTCCAGCTGACCATCGACTTTCTCAACGAATCATCAAGGAATGGGACTCATTACATCAACACGTGATTGACGCCCCATCTGTCGACTGTTTCAAAAGAAAGTTTAATCGACTGAGAGACCACGATGGCCCAAACTAACATAGACCAACAAGCCCCCTGTCCTTTCCAAACTGAAATTAGAACTGATATATTTTCCTTATGTATTCAAAGACAAAACATTTGGAACGATGCTAAATTAGGACGATGAAAAGGCTGCAAAATAAACGATTATATACTTAATGAGCTGGAAAGACGAACCTTACTCGTTTTGCAAGAATGACTTGCGACATCGTTCACTGGTAAACAAATACTGTAAAATAGATATTTGGAAGCTGAACCTTTCGGATTCGAATTTTCGACACGCAGTCAAGGTCTCGCGTGTATTCATATGTTCACGCTACTATGCTTTTAAGGAGTGCTGTTGGCTTTCTTCACGGATTGCTATACAAACCTTATGGATTCTGGGTTTTATCACCGGTTTTAATTATCTTGGAGATTTTATGTGGCTTCATTATCATTGACAAAGTACCATGTATGTCGCTCTCAATATTGTCTAACCAGTTTATAAAATTTCAGATACTGAAATTGACTGGATTGCGTATATGCAACAAGTGAGCGGATTTATAAACGGAACTTTAGACTATGATAAGTTGGAAGGTCAAACTGGGCCTTGTGTGTAAGTCCTGGTTAATAAAACATTTTTCTAGATATCCTGCCGGACATTTATATGTTTATACATTCCTGCACTGGCTTTCAGGTGGTGGATCCCTGATCAGAAATGCTCAATTTGTATTCCTCGGGCTTTATATCACAACATTGGTACTGATTTTCAACATATACAGATTATCATCCCAGGTATTGACTTCTTCCTTATCAATTCACTGTAGATCCCTCCTTATGCCCTCTTTTTTATGTGCATTATGTCTTATCGTGTGCATTCAATATACCTCTTAAGGGTTTTCAACGACCCGGTGGCCATGCTCTTCCTTTATGCCTCTGTCAATGCACTTCTATACAACCGTTTTACGGTCGGTAGCATTTTGTTCAGGTTCGTTCGATTTCACGGACTCATATTTTTCTAATAAAGTCGGTGAAAAGCAGTTTACTATTGTCTTATGTGTTTGATACAAAGTTTTGAGAATGCCGATTTTTTGAAAGATTAACCATAACTAAACAAAATATCACTGACCATAGCAAATGTGTCCTACTCCGTCTTCAACTTGAGTGCTTCAGTTATATCGTTAGTCATTATCATCATCTTTCATTGATAGTATGAACATTTATGACTTAATAACATGTTGGATGGTGTTTTTTACTTGGCCTAGATATAGATTAAAGTTTGTCATTACATTTCATCTTCCACTTGGATGTAGTCTGTCAGTTTTTTAAAATAACCGTTCCTACCAAAGGTATGTATAAAAGTATCACAAGAAGCCTGTGGTGTCCACTGGTCGTTCGTGTTGCTAGCATAGGGAGCCGTTATTCAAGCAATAAAATGATTCATATATAGCAAAGAAATAGTCAATTATCTTCGTATGCATATATGTGGACTTTCTCAGCACATCGTACATTTTTAACAGACTGTGGAAATCACCCGTTTTTACCACTCGTTTCAGGATCCAGTGGAAATGAACTAAGAACTTAAAAGTGTCGGTTACATATCACAGTTTTTAACTTCGTAATAACTAAGGAAACAATCATTGATGTATGACTGTTGGTTGTGCTGCTCATCGAGCAAAAACAGTGGTTGTCTAGTGTAATCGTACCAAAAAAGTTGAATTTGGAGCCCTATGCTGATCATCGTAAAATTTAGTTTACGAATTTTTATACTTTAAAGTCCATCCAAAAAGAAAAGACCTTAGATCTATATGTTTATTGTCAACTAAACTCAGTGATCTGTACTCTTAAGTCTCTACGCGCGGATAAATCTGATAGGTTTTTTTTGCCTCAACAGGATTAATTCAATATCCTTAGTCAAATTTATAAGACTGCAATTGATCATCAGTAAGTACTGATCATGTACAGTGTTTTTAAATGTTTAGTTCTCTAGTGGTAATGCTTAGTTTCAGAAGGACTATACATCGAGCCACAATGAGCTGTGCGTCGTAATGGAATACTAAGTGCTTAGGTTTGACTATGTATAATTATTCCTCTACTAACTTGGAGGATAACACCTCTATAAGTGCTGACCAACATAGGGAAACATATTTCTAGTACCACATTTGTATTAAGTAGTAACATTAGCATGACTTCGCTCTTACGAATTACATTCACTCGCGAAAAGATTGTAATAGAATTCTAGGGATTGTAAGAGCTAGACATTATTTCATACTAGTTGCTATTTGTTCACCTAGTTAGTTGTGTTTGATTGTCTAATTTTTATTTTGTAGTGGTTTTCACATCTGTTCTCTACAAAATATATTGTAACTCAGGCTTGTTGAGGATAATTGAACCGTTTCATTTCAGGTACTGTAACACTTTAATAAATTATAGCAATATATTTTGTAGTCAAGCATATGTACAGCGTTTGAATAAAAGAGACTGTGGTTTGGGAAGTTGTCACTTTTTTTGGCTCATATACCGCTTGAATTAAACACAGATCTATGCATACACTTATATATGGTTGCTGAGCTGTATTTGTTAAAAGTATGGTATTCAGTGCTGTGATGTAAGGTATTACCATTAGGTTTATGAAATTTTTGTTACATTCATCATCCGTTGCCCCTTACTTTCATTAGTATTTTTTTATTTCGAATAGTCTTGGTGTTTCGGTGAAAATGAATATATTATTGTTCCTTCCTGGTTTCCTAATTGTGTTGGTATGGCACAAGGGAATTTTGGAGACAATAGGTCACCTGTGTGAGTGTTTCATCGTTCAAGTGAGTTGTAGTGTTTTGTTTAATAACATCTATTTTCATTTGTATCGTCTTCATCTTATTTGTAAACATTGTTCGGAAACTACAGTCCAGATTTTCAGAACTGGTACACCGCATAGTGCTTGGCAGTAAGATGGTTAGGACAACATGTAAAGCTGTTTTTATTGATGAAGTTACTTAGACGCTTTTTCAACATCATGTTCAATTCTCTGCGGTGAAATTTTGGCGCTGATGCTTTTCATATTGTAGTTTGTTGTTCATTAACTACACACCAGGTTTGTTTTCTGTTAATCGATAGTCCGGACCTTGGAAGGTCAATAAGGTCTCACGCCAACAAATCAAGTGATCTAACAGATAGACTAAGAAATTTTACTCGAGTTTTTAGTTGAATCTAAATCATCTTTAGTTACTAGAAAGTAGAATAGGATTTTCACAGTATAAAAAAGTTTTTCGTCCATTTGTTCGTCATCAGATCTTACAATTTTTCCTAAGTCAATGTGGCCAGCTGTGTCATCGTTATGCCTTTAAGTCTATATAGCTAGCTACGTAAATGAACACCTGGATATTATAACCTAGCATATTGAATAATTTATGCCACCATTTGATTTTTATAAATTTTTATGTATTTCAGCTGGCCGTAGGTACACCTTTTCTATTCCACAATGCATGGGCGTACGTTAGCAGTGCATTTAATTTCGGTCGTCAATTTATGTATATATGGACAGTCAACTGGAGATTTCTACCAGAAAGTGTATTTTTGGATAGGCGATTTCATATGATTCTACTAATCTTGCATTTATGTATGTTGTTCGTATTCTTCTGGAAGTTTATTCGGTAGGTTTATCCTGTTTTACATATTCAAAATGCTACACTAATCATATATCTTTTCATAAAACTAAACATGTTAGACGGATATTTTTATTGGTAATTCAATCCTACCTCTTTCAGCTGAAAGGACTCTTTCCTTTTTTGTCAGAGAAAATGTATAAATCAGTATGTCAGCTTTCTCATAAGTAGAAGACTGATATTTATTGAAGTTAGGTCACTGTCGAAATTCCGCGTTACTTGCTTTGTGGTTATTATAAAAGTCACTTCATTATTAGTTCATTCAAGCATAAATATAAGTTAATCTTATTCTTAACTGGCTGCTATTTGACAATCACATATGCATTATTTGACTAAACAGTACAGCTGACGTCATTTCCAGAATATACAATATTTTGGCCCCCACACTAGAGAAATGGGTACTGCAGAAAATCAAAGTCGAAAAAGTGTAGCACAATTAGTAAATGATTAGCTTAAACAATGGAAATAAACGGCACCTCTCAAAAATTTGACCATTACGCCGTTTATATGGGAATCAAATGATTTCCTATTTTGGTAACTTTCAACCTGATCATTCTGATACTTTCCATTTTATTAAATGTATATAACATCCAAGATCAAAATAATTAGTAGCTTGGCTTTAACACATTCAACATAGGTTAGTGATGAGAATGTTATTTTTCTGACTTCAACTTCATATCGAATCAAGATTTTAAAAGGTATCTAAGTGCTTAATATAAAAAGATATCTAAGATCGGTTGTACACTTCCTTTTCTGGTTTCATATTTTTTACATCCTTTTTGGAAAAAAACTAGTTTCGGAATTCGATGACAAGAAAACCCGAGTACCACTTGTGTAGCTGATTTATTGTAACGTCTTTTACATGTATTACTTACATTAGCCGCCTCTGTCTAAAAGCGGTGATTTATCAGCACATTTGCTATTACAGTGCAAGTTTTAACATGACGGGGACAGGTGCTTCTGTTTTTAATGCTTTCTAGTCAACTTTCCTATAGCGATATATTCAAAAAATACGATTATTTTCATGGTATAAAGTACGGTTTCAGAAAAGCTCCAAAAACATAGTAGTGAATTTCAGAGAATCATGCATACAAGCAACATATCAGTAACAGCACTTTTCACATATCCATGCTTTTCATTCTAAGTGTAAAGAATTCATAATCAGTTGTGTTGCAGATATATTTTACAAAAACATAAATAGATTGGTCTTGTAGGCTAAGTCTCTTAAATTAGTTACCTGCAAACATCTATATGTATTAATCAAGATTTGGAAGGATATGTGCTAGAAACTAAATATTCCCTGGCTTATATATATACATATATAACTATCGTTGATGATGGTTATCCCGGAACTTTTAAGCTAGGTAAAACGCTTAGGTTTTGGTGCGGCGTAACTATCTGTTACGTTCAGTGATATATCTCTCATTTAAAATTATATTCGTTATAATATTATACTACAATATTTCATTATCACCTTTGTAGCTCTCGTGGTGGGATGAAAAATTATTTCTGTATATTTGACCCTGAACGTGATTCAAAGTTGGATCCTGCAGGTAATATCTAGTGCGTCTTGTTTATCTGGGAATTTGAAGATACACATTCATGGTTTTTGCAATAATTGTGTTTTAAGCACGCTCTTATTATGACTAACTGCATAATATTTTATTGTAGTTGCCTACCGTTCCTAGTTTGGAGGCTTCTTCATCCTTCTTGTGACTTCTATAAACATTAGATCTATTCCTCGAGAACTAAGAACCAAATTTAAATGAAAAAACACTCATTCCTATTTTGTCTTAATTTTTTACTGGAATCAGTTGTAAAAAGCTACTAGTTTTTGAAATATGAGCTGATTCTGTAGCTAAAAATGTGTGTCGTAATATAGTTAACTTACTTTTTATTTCAGTGAATGTTTCTTACTGCTCATCAATCCAATTGATATCAAAGGCTATCATTTTTCCTAGCGATACTCGATCCGCATCTACCTGATAATCATCGGGTTATATATTCGAATACACTCAGCTTCTTTTGGCTAAGGCACCCTTGTTTTATCACTGACTCAAGATATATTTGACTAACAGAGGCCTAATAAGGAAATCGCTTAATTTGTCTGTTGTGTTTGTCTTTAGATGGGATAAGAAGTGAATGCGAGTGTAACGGCTATAATTTTCACTTGAAAAATACAGATTCATGTTTTGAAATCCTCCAAATATTATGTAGGGTGAGGTTATATTAGTTCGATTTTCAGGTAGATGGGGGACATCTCTCTGTTAGGATTTTCTGGCACTTAGATTTTAATCTAGTCAAGAACTGTCAATATTTATTGTCTCTTTTTTCCTCGGTTTTGATTCTTTTGATTAAAATCCAGCTGTTCTATATCCTATGTTCGTATGCAATTTTGTTGGTATTGTTATCAGCCGTTCGTTGCATTACCAATTCTACGTTTGGTATTTTCATACAATTCCATATTTATTGTGGTGTGTTAGACGTTTTTCCACTCCTGTGAAGTAAGCAATGACATTTTTAGCCGTGTTCTTCATTACTAATCCACACTTCTTATTCCCTATATTCTCTCACTTATATATTTCTGATAACTTGTTTTCTAGTCTTTCTGTCAGTTAAAGAGACTGATTTCTTCAACACAGGTTTCAAAATAACTTCCTTAACGATTTTATCGACCAAGTTTACATCTCTATAAATCTCAAACCGATCATATTGTGACTTCGTAGACTTGCATTATGTCTAGTTCTAAATTCTAGAGCTCAGACCATCCTTCTTTCACTGCGGCCAAAATAGGTTGGAAGCAGACATCATCAGACAATGTCTCAATCATTCCAGTTAACTCAAATTCATGACCACTATCTGATTTGTATCCCTTATGTAATGTCTTATCCGCACTCAGTGGTTCTGCCGAACTCAATCGATTTCCCAAGGAAACCAGTGGCTAAAAATCTATTACGTTGTGTTATCCACCATTAGGATTATGGACCTGAATCATATTTTCTAAAATCTTACAAGTACCTGCCATTAATATACATGATTGTTCAGCCGTAAAACAAGTCCAAAACAGTAAAATTTATCATAATATTTGTAGTTGGAAAGTAGACCGCTCAGAAGCTGTCATACAAGCTAATTACCATTAGTCCTTTTTAAACCAGCGCCAGGTTGCTTTTATTTATCGTCTGTTAAAACCGCCTGATTTTTCGAACGAATCCATTATATATATATATATATATATATATATATATATATATATTATTAGCCAACCGGATGAGACTACAGTGTTCTGTTTCAAATGCAATGATCTTTTCTATACACTTGTCTACTCCCTTGTGATTGTTCATTTTTTAGGCTATTAATTCTTGGTCTTATTGAAATCAGTTGGAACACCTATCCATCAACAATTTTGAGTAGTGGTTTACTAAATTTATGCCACTTAGCGTTGCTAGTTGGATTAATTATGGAATTAGTGCCAATTAGATTAGCATCACTACATGTCAAAAAAGAAGTTGTAAATAACTCCGTCAGTACTCCTTCAAAAAGTCAACCACGCAAAAAAGCTTCCAAAAAATCATGGACTGGTGGGAAGTACAAACAAGCCTAAAATGTTTCATTTTGGGGAGGAGAAATTGTAAATTCTTAGTACGCTTCTTTTTGTCGACCAAATATGCCAAAGGTGTACGGTCAATTGACACTGAAACTGTGCATGTGATTGTGTAAAATAATGTAGCTTTTTTGCAAATAAATCCTGATAATTTTTTTGTGGTGCCTTTATTTTGACGCCAGTTGGGTCGGACGATAAGGTTCACCACTTTTGTGGTGTCAACTGATCTGACTCCAATCTGAATGGACGTATGAATATCCCATGAGTATATATTTTCCACTTAACTCTGTATATTACCTAGGCCAACCCCATTTGTATGACGGCGGTAATAAGAAGCCAAATATGAGTGGCGTTGAATGCATTTATTCCCGGCATTCGTTTATCCTCTTTGATGGAGATTTGCTCTCTGAGCTGGATGGTTCGGTCGTGGAGCTTTCATCGTTCTTCTGAACGACACCAGCACAAACTTCAGGTAGAAGTCTGCCTGAAAGCTCCACAAAAAGAATCGCTGCACAATTTCGATTGTGGTATTTTTTAGATATTAAATAAACATAATAATTAAGGTAGTAAAGTTGAAATTATAGATCACCAACATGTTTTAAGCTAAAGCTATTTCAGCGTTCTTCGTTTAGCTTGTTGTAAAGATTGGTCACCAAATATCTTGATTGAACTGATGTAAGTTTATTGAAACGTAATTAGAATTTTACTTAAAGACATTTTTATTCTGTACCAGAATTGTGACTATAATTGTTAACTATATGAAAGTATGCTTTCAGAGAGCAAACGTGTTTATCCTTGTAAATGAACGTAGAATTATTTCATCATGATTGCGAGGAGTTGTCATAAACATATTTCCTAATTCTCTTCATATAATAATTGATTTGTCCGATCCAATATACTGACTCAACTCTTTTCCTACTATACTGGAAAACAGTGTGGTGGAATATCCTTAATTAACTGGGCGTCACGTAGGAATGACATTAAATTTATTTATACAGATTTTTTAAGTTTATTAAGACATTTTAAGGAATACGGCTTATACGTTAATATATTTTACGATTAATGATCGTTTGTTTTTTATTAAAATAATTGTCTATTTCCCGTTGAAATCGATCGACCTTTTTTAAAGTTTAACGCCTATTTTCATTGTATTGTCAAAAATCATTTACCTTCGGTTGACCAGCAGAATGTTAATAATAATTTTATATATTCTGAAAATAATAATTACAGAATTCACGCCAGTTTACAGGCATGATCAACTTGACATAAATAGTAACATTAGATGTAGAGAACAAACGTGTGATATAAGTTAGTTTTTAGTATACTAGTTCAGTAATTGTTTAGGTAGTACATGTATTACAGCGACCCAATGCATCAGCCGGGAACTTTTAATTTTTCTTAAATGGACAGTCTGTTGATTTGTGAATGGTGTAATTAAGGTCAATTCGTGTGCCAGATCGAAATAATGATAATTATCTACAACTAGAGAAATTAAAACGAAAACAGAGAGCACTGAACAACAAAGCACTAATTACCAAAATATATGAATCAGGTCTACCTAAATGCATGTGTCATGTGACACAGTGATATACTGTTGATGTTATTCAAATTAGTTAAACTTGCTAGGGACGGTGTTAACATAACGTGACAGCAAGTATGTGGTTTTATTTAGGGAATACACTAATAGAAATGACTAAACATTTAAAGTTCCTATAATATCACTTGTGAAATGAGATACACTTACAGGTGCTAGAACATTCAATGCATTTTCAGAGGAGCGGTATGCATCGATGCAGCGAATAAATAATGGGTGTGATTTTATCGTACGAATAGATTGTGATAGGTTATTTCAGAGTCTAGAAAATTTACAAGTAAAGTAATTCATATAGAGATGATTTAGAATAAGTTTGTCTCACTAGTGACAAGGAATTACGGATGTCACAATGAGAAGTTTCTGCATATTGAATCACGTGATTGGATGTAAAGGATAGTTTATTTAGTAGTTTGAGGAAAAAGATAAGATTTAGTTTGAGTCTCCTCTTCCATAAAGGGTCTAGTCCAAGTTTATTATATCTAGAATTATAAGGTACAATCAGCTCTGTACTGATTCCAGCCTTAATTTATCCTTTATGCGCGCACTGCTAAGAATAAACGTGCAATATTCTAGAAGTGGTCGAACACAAACTTTGCACATTAAAATACGTGACTCATTGTTATAAAGGTTTCGAGTTATGTAACCTACAAGGTGTTGAGACTTAGGGGTCTGTTTCAATATCTGTTCTGTAAACGACAAGTTTTGGGAGTATCTAAGTCTGCTACTGTATGTAACCATTTATGGTAAGGTCTAGGTTGAGTGATGTATAGCCGAAGCATATCTATCAACATTTAGCCGTATTAAGCTCCAGTTGCCATTTTAAGCACCACTGTGCTACCTTGTTAAGCTCCATGCTGATGCAATTTTGCATATTTTCCAGCTCATGTGGAGAAAGTGAATATACTACTTTAAGATCATCTGCATATAGAAGGTACTTGTCCAAACGAAAACTTTCACAAATATCATTGATAAACACTAAAAAGACCAAAGGGCCTAAGACACTACCTTGTATTACACCACTTCTAACAGGGCCAGCGTTAGACAATGAAGAGTTAATTTTAAATATTTGGTGTCGATTGCTTAGAAAGGAATCAAACCAAGCTAGCAAGGGACTTTAAACCCCGTAAGATGCGAGTTTACTTATAAGAAGTTGGTGGCTAACCATGTAGAAGGCTTTAGAAATGTCCACACTAATCCTTAGCTACGTAGAGAATAGACTAAATTAAAGAAATCAAAATGACATGTCATGCAAGATCGATTTTTAAGAAATCCATGTTGAGTATCATTGATAAATTTTCCAGCGAGTAAATAGTTGGAAAGTTCATAATCCTAGAGATGACTGGAGTAATATTTATCGGCCGATAATTGTTCATGTCAGTCTTATCTTTAGATTTGTAACGTGATATAATGTACGCAGTTTTCCAACAGTAAGGGTAAGAACCTGTTTCCATAGAGAGAGTAAACAGCTTTAGAAGAAGTGGAATATCTGGACCAACATATTTGGATGAAACCCCATCTGCCCCATGACTTCGAAAGCTTAAGGGTATTTATAGCCTTATTAATTTTCATGCATGTGAAGGAGATAGATTTTATTGAGTTGCTAGTCACGCACATAACTCTTGAAGCAGAGTCATTTATGATTCCTACACCATTCGTAAAAATACTACTGAAAAGGCCTGCTATGGTTTTAGAGTCGTATATAACGTGCTGGATGCATGGTATATCAACATTTTGAGTTGCTTTAGTGCGTTTATTGAAAAGGAGAGTTAAGTTTTGTACCTTTGAGTTAGTATTAAGTGCTAGTATCTCCTCATTAATGGCTTTTAACCTATGTTTCTCTTTAATTTGATTAAAAATTATTGTTATTTGTGCAACTTCCGTGAAGTCGTTTGACTTAAAATAACGATTCTGTAGGCGTCTTAGCTTATTACGATATTTAGCTGGTTTATATAATTCGTAAGGTTTACTAAACCTGTACGTTTTAAGAGGTACACAGGAATCTAAAGAAGAGTTAACGATCAGATAGAATTCGTTGATAGCATACATGAGGCTATTACATGAAAAAGGTCATCCTAGTCTGAAAGTTTAATCAGTGAATTCAGGAGGTCCCCAGTCAGCGTGCTTATAGTCTCTATATTGACAGGTTTTTTGAATGGGTCGATTATAAGAAGGATAGATAAGGAGAGCGCAAACTACTATCTTATGGTCACTGCTTTCAAATTCATCGTATACTTTTACAAATAGTGGGATAACATATCTACTAAATATTAGATCGAGTATACTATCGCCTCTAGTTGGGGTACGAACCCACTGTGACCAGCAGTGCATGTTAATGGTTGCCAAGAACTCATCATTACATGACCGACAACTACCGGTACTCCAGTTAATCCCAGAATAATTGAAATTCCCAGTGTTCATGGTCTGTTGTGCTAAAAGAAAAACAAAACCTCATATACTTTACATAGTCAGACCATACAATTATTTATTGAATCTTTGTACATCATGTTAATCGTCTGAACCGGTGTTCAATGTTAGGGGTGTTGGAGTCAGCATGAAGCTCCGAACCTACGTTTCATGTTAGTTTGTATTCATTAATAAGGAGCATCTGTAATCTTGTGTAGATTCCTGCTTCTCAGATGAGTCGTCTACTGAACTTTTCGGGTCACAATTGAGATGTTTACACTGATTGATCGCTGAGTAATTACTAGTGTTTCTTATGTTCCATAGTCTTTATTAAATTTCTACCGATCAACTACTGTTAATCAGTATTTTAAGGTGATCTGTCATCAAACAATTTCAGATATATATATATATATATATATATATATATATATATATATATATATATATATATATATATATATATATATATATATAGATGACTGATTCCCCAGTTCTATATGCTTTTTAAAAAAATGGTTAGTGAGTTATCTTACTACTTACTCATGTTGTAGTAGTGTGTTGTTTTTACGTACAAATATGTTGCTGATTTAGTTTCGAATTAAAGTCTGGTAAAAATAATGTCTTTCCAGAACCTTATTCATCTTTAAATTCGAATATCATATTAGCACAGGATTGTTAGTGAACAGGAAAATACCCAGGGTTAAATCATTCTGAGTCCCAAGTGTGGTGTTTATAATCTACACATACATAGGAAGAATATCATATAGAATGTTTAGATTCGACAGCATACCTGATAGGTGTGAACACTCTGAATTCTAAAATGAATCTTGTATAATTCGAAGTACCCTAATTTATTACTTAAGGTGACTGGTATTTATTTATTGATCTCCGAGTGTTCAAGAATATCTACCTGCTTCGGTTTGGGCACCCGGGCAGTATCACAGCCCTCGCACATATCGAATAAGATTTGTGTGGCGCATATGTATTTGGTGCTTTCTTGTACCAATATCTATGTGTTAAAATAAATAAAGAATATCTGCCTCAATTTTTATTCAGTGAGAAAATATTTCTAAAATTTTAGTTTTTATGTTTTCAACTAAGTCAGAGTAATCACAACTTTATTGTAAATTGGGTTCATTTTCAGGGGACATAAGTACA